CTGTCAAATTGGCCAGTATCGTTTGCTATTGGTGGCTAATTCTTCCTCTTTATCCGACAGATCTCTGCAACACTGGCTGGACAGAATACAACAGGTTTTGCTATAAGATCTTCGATGAAGGTTTGAATTTTTACAAAGCTAATATGAGCTGCATCAGTGAAGGTGCCGGATTGGTCTCCATTGAGGACTCAGACGAGCTAGATTTCCTCGACACACTTCTAGCAAAAGGTGAAGAAGTGTTCGTGGGTATGACAGACATCGCAGAAGAGGGGCGATGGGTGTGGATGGATGGAAGCCTCCCAAAGCTTGACCCGCTGTGGCATGGTAAGCATCCAGATGGCGGTGAGAAGGAAAACTGTGGAGAGTACGTACAGAAACATGGCTTCCACGACATAAAGTGCGATGACACCAGGCCTTATGTCTGCAAATACTCCTTACACGACATGTGAAACGTTTTTTTTTTTGGTTGTTGTTGTTGTTGCTGTTGTTTTCGTGTTTTAGAGTATTTTAGATCGAGGCTTAATTCCCATTTATTTTGTTCACTCTTCTGCTTCTGAGTCCAGAAATCCGCCAAATCCAAATTAACTAGTGAGCGATGGCAAAACTAATTGAAATATGACAGGTTTTTTTGTGTTTTCTAATTCTAACAGAATACTGCAAATATATCAACGACTAGCGTGTTTAAATTTTACAGTTTCACAAAATAGTTAAGAAAATAGCGTTAAAAACTCTGCCTGTAGATGACAAGATTCGGTTTAGAAAGTTAAGTTTGTTTTTGTTTGGAGATAAAAACGACAAATTAAATATGACATTTCTGTTTCTGTTCTTTCTTACACAGTTCATTAAGGACTGACTAGGAAAATATTACATCTTGGTAGTACTCATTTTCATTTCATTCTTAGTACTTATCAGGGCAGAATTTCAGAAGGATTTCTCTGGTCACATGCATTAATTTGTAAATATTTTGCACGTGATATATAATTTGCAGCAGCTGTCACTGTCACGTTCCGCAGCCGATGGAACTTATTCCAACCGACTTATTCTCTTACTCTATCAAGTTACTGTAGGACTACTCGGTTGCAAAATCGTACCAAGGTTTGGAACGAACTTAATTACTAGAATATGCAGCAGATAAAACGTGACAATAAAGGCCCATTAAAGTCATTAAATTTTACACGGTGGTCAATCTACAATGAAGTGTTTCTTGACGAATTAGTGGTGCCAAGTCTCTTGACTTCAGGTGATAAGATTCCATAGAACAGACACCAAGGGTGCTTTCCATTGGATGAATATTCTGGTTTGAATTTCCGAAAATTTTCAGTGACGACTGAAATAGCATTTTACGGATTTTCCGGAGAAGAAGAACCTCTCGAAGAGTACCCG